GAGGAGGAAGGGGAGGAGGAGGGAGGAGGGGGAGAAGGAGGAGGAGGAGGAGGAGCAAGAGGAGGCGGAGGAGGAGCAAGAAGAGAAGGCAGCGCGGGAGAGGAAGGGGAGGAGGGGGAGGAGATGGCGGCGGAGGAGGAGGAGGCTCTCCGCCATTGTACCCCCAGAAACGGGCGACGTGACGCGGTGCGGCCGTGGGGTGGGAACCGCGGGCACCGAGATCGCGGTGAGGCTGTGATGATGATGATGATGATGATGATGATGATGATGGTGATGATGATGATGGTGATGATGATCATGATGATGTCAGTGATGATGATGGTGATGATGATGACGTTGATGATGATGACGACGACCATGGAGACGATACTGGCGATGCTGATGATGATCATGACTGCGTTTTCGATGCTGATGGTGCTGAGGATGGCGATGATGAGGATGATACGCATGATGGCGGTTGTGGCCATGATGCTGATGATGGTGATGATGGTATATGCTGGTGAACTGTTGGGCTACACCGATATCGTCGCTAATTTGCTAAGCTGCCAAGTTAATTACCCAGTTGCTAAGTGGCTTAAGTAGCTGAGTTGCTGAGGCGAGTTGCTGGCGAACTCCCTGAGTAGCTGGGTTGCTAAGTCACTGGTCAATGCAATGATGATGATGGTGATGATAATGATGATGGTGGTGGTGGTGGTGATGATGATGTTGATGATGATGATGATGATGATGACCGTACGTGAATTCTTATGCCTATGCAAATTTCCTCTACCAGTGCAAAAAAACAACAATGTCTCTAGATGTCTCTAGATGTCTCTGTAACTGGCTGTAATTCGAAAAACTCAGCGAAACTCAAGAAAACCCAGAAAAACTCCAGATAATTCTATGAAAAATAGCTAAAAATGACTGAGAATCCAGCGCGGAAGGCGCGGACGAAGGAGAGCGAGGGCATGGCGAACCTCGCCATCCCCCCCCTCTGCTGCGATGTTTCGCGGCGCCTGGTCGCCGCTGGCCCTGTCGAGCTGTCGCTTGAGCAGGCCGCCGACGCCGTCGATAGCTTCTTTGTCAAATAGGGGGGCGGGGGCCAACGATTGGTCGTCGGCTGCAGAGACGCCTTCTATCACATGGAGCTCCCAATGGAGTTCCGCCGTTTCTCGGGCATCGCAAGCTTCGGGCCTCGCGGGCCGGCGTTTCCCATGCCCGGGGGGCCCGCGTTCCCCCGGGAACTTGGGTCGCCCCGCGCGCGCGCCCCGCCCGTGGCGCGGCCCCGGGCCCCGCGGCGGCGCCTGGCAATGCACGGGCGAGCGGCCGAGGAAGGGGGGGGCCCTCCCACGGCCCAGCTCGCCGATGGCCCCCATTTCCGCATCACCTCGCCTCCGCTCCTTTTCCGCAGTGCGTAGACCAGTATGTTGCGTTTTCGACGAGCGAGGCGGCGGCCCGGGAACGCTTGGCGGGAGCGTCATCCGCTCTCGAGTTTCGCGGGTTGCCGCTTCATAAGGAAGGTATATCTCGTGATCGGGCGGCGGTGCTGGGGCGGGAAATCGATTGCCTTCGGCGCGCCTCCCGCCCGACGCCCGAGCGAGTCTGGAAGGCTCGTCTCGCCTTTCGGGGCCTCTTGTGTCGGGGGGTGGTCTCGGGGGGGGGGGGGCTTGAAGCGCCTCCTGGGCCACCCGTGTTTCATCGGTTCGCGTAGGCGATTCGCGTAGGCGAGAATCGCTCAGCGCTTGCGGAGGAGCCCCGCCCACAGGGCCCGGGCCCTCTGGGCCTCGGCGAGGAAGGAGCTCGACGCCCGGGGCCGCGTCTCCCCGCTCATCTGGGCCAACGCCTCGGCGGGTGCCTGTCTTGACGTCGTCGCGGTGGACGCGTTGTTTTGAGGCCTCGAAGCCGCTCGGGGTCGTCCGCCGCTCGCTCTCGTCAAGGGCGCCCGCTGCCGCTCGGAGCGGGCGGGGGCTCGGGGGGCGGCCTGCGCGGGGCCGCCGCCTCGAGGGCGCGCTTTCGCCGCGGCCGCCGCGCAGCTGCGCGCGGGCGAGAGGGGGCCCGACAAGCAGATCCCGATGCAACTCGCGAGGCCCCCGGCTCGCGGCGACGTACCCGAGAGCGAGTTCGACCGTCGGCGCCGGAGACAGTTCGGGGGCGCCCCCTTGGACCTCACGAGGGGCCCAGCCTGGAAGGCGCGCGGGGGGGGGGCGGCGACGGCCCTCGGCGCTCTGGAGGCCGGGCCCTTCTGCGTGGAGTCCGTCGCCTCTCGCGGTCCGTCGCCAACGCGCGCTCGAAGTTTCTCGCGGTGGCGAACCCGTATCCGCTTCGTTGGCCGCCGCGAAGGGGCGGCCCTCAGCCGATGGAATGCTCTCGGTGACCCGCCAGCTGGCCGCCCAACTGCTGGGCGCGGGCAGCCTCCCGCGGCCGCGCTGGGTCGCCTCGGTGCTCGACCCCGCCGGCGGGCCATCGCGCGGCGCGCCCGCGCCGAGCGACCCCCTTGCCGACATGCGGCGGGAGCTCGCGGCCGCCGCCGGCGAGGGCCGCGAGGCCGGCGCGCGGCAGGTCCGACAGGTCCCGCCGCAGCCCCCAGGCTTTGGCTCGGCCCCCCGCCCAGGCGTGGCCCGCCTCGACACTGGGGGCCAGCGGGCGGCGGCTGCGCGGCGGCAGGCGGAGCGGGCGGCCGAGCTGGCGGCGGCGCGGGCCCCAGAGGCCCAGGCGATTCTGCTTCGGAGGGCCTCAGTCACAGCGAAGACTCAGGCCCAGTTCTGCTCCTACCCGGTCGCCCTCCTCAGGCGCCGCCACGCCCGCGGCGCCCCCCGCCCCGGCGCCGGGGAGGAGTGGGGCATCGCTGCCGCCAGCCGAACGGAGATCATTTTCATGGAGGGCGGCTCCCCGAGCAGGGGCGAGAAACCTCGGGCGTCGGCGCAGCGGGCCGAGCCCCGCCTGAGCGCGGCTGGGAGGCGGGCGGATGCCCATCTGCTGGCTGAGCATGCGAGGCTGGCGCCGCACGCCCCCCCCAGAGGCCGCCCGCCTCCGCCCTGCGATTTGGCGATGATGCGGACCCCGCCCGGGAGTGAGGAGTTCGGCCGGGCGATTGTTCCGGCCCTCAATTCAAACGGCGCTCGGGGAGGCCTCGGAGCAGGTGGGGCTGGAGCGCGGCGGGCAGCCCCTGCTGGGCCTCTCGACCGGCGCTCTCCGCCAGGCCCTGGACGGGGCCGCGGCCGCGCGGCGCCCGGGGCCGCTCGGGGCGCTCGACGGCCACTGCCTCGGGCGCGCGGCGGCAAGCGTGGATTCCGCGACCGGCGCCCGCCGGCGGGAGGAGATCCAGCGCCGCGGGCGATGGCGGGCAGCGCGGGGCCCCTGGCGCCACGAGCGCAGAGGACGCCTGACCGAGCTCGCGCCGCCCGCCGCCCATAGCGCGGCGGGCGGCTGCAGCGGCCGCGCAAGAGAAGCGGGCGAGGCGTCTACCCTCTTAGAGCCGCTGAAGACGCCCACCGTCTCGGCGTTCCTTGAGCTGTTCGCGGGGTCAGACCGCGTGTCCGACGCCGTGGGGCGAGGAAATGCACCCGCCGTGCGGCGGGGCACCCTGCGCGGGCCCGCCCACGACCTGCGCTGCCCGAAGAACGCGCGCCTCATCCAGGGCTGGGTCCGGGCGGGGCTCGTGCGCGGCATGCGCGACGGCTTCCTCTGCGAAACCTTCTCGCGGGCGCGGGATCGGCCGAGCGGGTCCCCGCACCTCCGGTCGGCCGACCATTCCCGGGGTTTTCCCAGCCTAGGCGGCGCCGGCCTCGAGAAAGTAAAGTAGTGCAACTGGCACATGAGGCCTACTATATCTGTCTGCGCTGTGCGCTGCAAGTGCCTCGTGCCGCGGCACATTGAGAACCCCGCGTTGAGCTGCGCTCGGTCGCGGCCACCCATCTCCAGCGCCGCCAAGTGTCGCCCCAGCTGGTAGAGCACGGCCGGCTCGGGACTCCACGGCGAAAGAGTGCGAAGATCGCAGCTTATCTCATCGACCTGACACCCCTTGGCAAAATTCCGGTGCGTCTGGCATGTTTGCGTCGTTACGCAGCAGAAGCGCTTCGAGTTATCCGGGAGAGATGCCTCGGCCCAATTTCGGACCAAGCTCGCTGAAGCGCATCCCCGGAAGCTGCGTAACATTTTAGCCCGAGCGTGCGCGGGTGAAACAGCCAGATCTCGAGCTGCCCAGTTTTCTCATATGATTGAGCGTGCTGCTCGAGTGTAGCTCGTAATTTTGGCATGGAACATGACAGTGTTTCGGCGTTGCCAGTCCAGCTTTGTAGTTCGCAGCAATGCGCAGGGGCCCTCACAATTTCAGCTGATGCCCGTGGCCGCCCGTGGATCGGATATCCCCTGGCGGCGGCCTCTCGTGCTCGCAGAGTCTTCTCGATGCCTCGCCACCTGGCCGCCTGAGATGAAACAAAGGGAGCATGAGTCGTTCTCTGAACAGGGTTGCTCCTTGGAAGCGTCGGTGGCCGCCCGTCTGCGTGGTTACTCGATCTTCCGTTGGCGCATCGCTCAAATTCCCACCCACCCGCCCTCGCTCCCACGAGTCGTCTGCATGGGGTGCTCGTAGTTTCGGCTGGTGCAAATGGCCGCCCGCGGATCGGAGATCCCGTGGCGGGAGCCTCTTACGCTCGCAGAGTCTTTCGATGTCTCGCCACCTGGCCGTTTGAGATGAAAAGGGGGCCTCCTCCCCCTCCTCCTCCTCCTCCTCCTCCGCCTCCTCCTCCTCCTCCTCCTCCTCCTCCTCCTCCTCTTCCTCCGCCCCCCCCTTAAAGATTTGGCATCGCTCGGGCGTGTCTTTCCTCTGCGAGGATCATCGAGGAGCATCCTGGATCATCGTGCGAAACAAGAAACATCGCACGACACCGAAGCGTGCACCGGGGAATGGACGTCCGAGCGATGGCGATACAACGTGGTAGGCGGTCGCCGCTTACTCTGTCACGGAGGAGGAGGGGTAGGGGCAGGATCAGGCCGTGGATCGGCGGGGGGCTGCTTCCAAGGATATGCAGGGTCATGATTGCCATCTACTCCTGGGGCGGCGGGGTCGGCTTCCTGATGATCTTGAAGGGTCCGCCGCCAAAACATATCTGCACCCACCACTTCGGAAAAATTCAGAATCGTGTGCTGGGATCTCGAAGGGTGGCGGACATGGATGCCTGCCCACCCCTGCGGCCGGAATGTCCACCGCTCCACACTGAGCCGTGGCAGGATTCCAGAAGTTGGGATCATGGATGTTTCCTGGCAGCGCATCAGAGGATGATGTTGGGGAGGAGGATCAGAGGCGTGTTGGAGAGCGACGTTTCCAGGCGTTCCTTTCAGGCTCGGGGATGCGACGTCGCCTTGCCAGGATTTGTCTGCCCATGTCATTTGTCGGTGTTCAATTCGCGACGCCATTTCGTGAACGCGACGCGCTTCGGGAGCATTTGCTTCTTTCTTCGCGCAGTGGACGGAGGCAATTTGGTGGAGGACCCAATCCTACGCAGCTGGGCGCAGTGCATGGCGCAGCCTTATCGTCATTGCTAGCGCGCGGCGGAAGAAATGTAGTTCGGGGGAGTGCAGATGAGAGACGGAGGGCCTGGGCCTTCGGTGAAGCTCCCAATGGGTCCACGAAGGCGCGTGAGGGGCTCGCCGAAACTAACTTGCCCAGCATGCAAACTCTGCCACTGGGGCCTTCGGTGGAGCTCTTTCAAGGGCCACGAACCGTGTGAGGGTTGCGCCGGAATGGAGCAGCGCAGCCTGTGGACATAACCGCTATGGCCTTAAGTGGAGTTCCCTGTGGGGCCACGAAGGCGCGTGGCGCGTGAGGGGTGTGCGAAATTGGAGCCGCGCAGCATGCACACACTGCCACTGGGGCGTTCGGTGGAAATCTCGATACGGTCGCGAAACCCGTGATGGGTACGCCGACACGCAGCCGGCAACCATGCAGATTTTGTTTTGGGGGACCTAGGTGGAGCTCCCTACGGCGCAGCGAAGCGTGTGACGGCGTTGCCGAAGCCTGTAGGGAGAGGCGGGGGGGGGGAAACGCGGGGCCCTGCGGATGCTCATGGAGGACCCAACAGAACGAGGGTTGGGACACATTCTGAGATCTGGGAGCGAAGCGAGCGTGAATTTGGAATCGAACGAGCACAGTCGAGATGCCGGGGAATTTAGACCTTTCTTTTTTTTCGCTCAAAGGGATTTGTTCTGAGTCTTTGGAGCTTCTTGGAGTTTCGACGGGCATCGTCGTGCCTGCCGACGCGCTCGCCCGGGAATTGAGGCCAGTTGCCAGCACTTGCTAAAGAGATTCTGTGCATGAGAGGTTCTCTTTTTGGGATCCCGACAGGTGAGCTCGCATACCTTGCGGACATCGTCTTCGGGTTGCCAGGGATTCTCTTCGGTCTCGACACTGGAGTTATGTTGATGATGATCGTTTCCGTGTGCGTCATTTGGCCTCTGAGCTCCTTGTATGACATATCGTCTCTCAAGGTGTTCGCTCCGTTGGCGTGCGGCGCGGCGGTGTCCATCACGGGTGTGGTGGCAGCCTGCATGCCTTGGGGGGCGGAGCCTTGCCATGGTCCTGCGGACGCGGTACCAGGTTCGCTGAAGCACCCAGGGTCGATGAAGCAGGTCCGCAGCAGAAAGAGCTTCAGCGAGGGAGCCGATGGAAGCGTTGGGTTGTGTGGGATTGGATGGAAGGGATGGCAAGAGGAGGGAAGGGATATGGAGAGGGGTATGAGGGAATGGAGAAACCAGTGTGAGGTAACGAACACATCCCATGAGTTCAGGCGGGATGGGGTCTTGGCCGCATGACACAGTTGAGGCTGAACGCTCAGGCCAAACTCACAAGCCGTCTCCCTTGCACTGCCTCCTCGTCATTCATGTTCTCATCCTGATCCTCCTGCTCCTGCACATGCACCTGTTTCCCTCCTGGCTCCTTCCCCATACCTCATCTGGTTCTCCCCCTCATAGTCCCTATCCATCTGCTAATCTGCCATCTCCGATTCTTGGCTCCATGGCTCTCAACCTAGACGATACTTGCTAGTCAGGTCCCGGACTCGCTGGCGGACGTAGCCGCCGCGCTGCCGCTGCTTGCGTTCGCGCTCAACTCTAGCTGGGCCTACGTGCCGATCCTGTGCACCCTGAGGGACCTCGAGCCTCCTCCTCTCCCTCCTCCCTCCTCCTCCTCCACCTCCTCCCTCCTCCTCCTCCACCTCCTCCTCCTCCGCCTCCTCCTTCTCCTCCTCCTCCTCCCTCTCCTCCTCCTCCTTTTCCTCCTCCTCCTTCACCTCCTCGTCCTACCCTTCCTCCTTCTCCTACTCCGCCTCTTCCTCTCCTTCCTCCTCCTCCTCCTCCTCCTCCTCCTCCTCCTCCTACCCTTCCCCCTTTTCAGGCAGGGCGTTCCGAGGCTTGGGAGACGACTGTAGGCTTCCCGTCACCGAGACCAGGAGGGAGTACTTAGATAGGCCTGCCAGGGATTTACACCCCAA